GAGTGGCTGTGCCTATACTGACGTCACTACTTCCCTTTCCAATGATTCGCTACAGCTTTCAAGTCGTCATCGTCCCTATGTCATGATTGGTCATGACTGCACTTGCGTCACCACTGCAGAGCTGCCAGTGCTATAGTGTCTCAGCTGCTCTGGTTTTGACGTCATCACTGGAGCATTGTGAGTGGCGGCTCTAGCTTTGACGTCATCACTGATGCATTGTGAGTGGCGGCTCTAGCTTTGACGTCATCACTGGTGCATTGTGAGTGGCTATAACTACAGTTACGTCACCTCTTCCCTTTCCAATGATTCACACTAACTTTCACGACGTCATCGCTCCTGTGCCATGATTGGTCATCCTGCCTCACCGCTGCAAGACTTGGCTCCCTAAACATATAAAGTTTTTATCAATATATGTCTTGTTAAAATACCTGATTCATAAATGTCATGGAAACCCGAATTACGTCACATAAGCTGAGAACAATTCTTGCAAGATTTGATAAACATGAAATCCATGAGACGTATAAATTATAATCGGGTGTTATAAGGTGTTCTGTGTCTGTTATTAACATGTCGACATCACATGGAGCCGGTCGGCCGAGCGGACAGCACGCTGGACTTGTGATCCTGTGGTCCTGGGTTCGATCCCAGGCGCCGGTGAGAAACAATGGGTAGAGTTTCTTTCACCCTATGCCCCTGTTACCTAGCAGTAAAATAGGTACCTGGGTGTTAGTCAGCTGTCACGGGCTGCTTCCTGGGGGTGGAGACCTGGTCGAGGACAGGGCCGCGGGGACACTAAAAAAAAAAAAAAAAAAAAAAAAAAAAAAAAAAAAAAAAAAAAAAAAAAAAAAAAGAAATCATCTCAAGATAACCTCAAGATCACATAAATCTTCATAATGGTAAATCCCCCGACCGTCAAAGTGGTTGGGCACCATTCCTTCCCCCCCCCCCCTATACCCGTCCAATCTCAAATCCTAATCCTGATCCCTTCCAAGTGCTATATAGTCGTAATGGCTTGGCACTTTCTCCTGTAATTTCACTTTCTCGGTGAAGGTTTTTCCTCCCATTTTGTCGCATGTATTGTTTGATGGTGATTACACCTACCGGTCCACCCACTAGGATTGTCTGGGTCTCGAACCCTGGAACCCTCGCGTGTGAGGTCGAAACTGATGTTGTTGTTACAGATTCAGCTACTCGGAACAAGTTCCAAGTAGCACGGGCTATGGTGAGCCCGTAGTGGAGTTACCTGGCACAGGAGCGGTGCTTCGAAACTGAATCAACTGGGCTATAAGAAGTCTTAAAGAGGAAAGTGTCAAGAAGCAGCCTCCTTGCTGCCAAACCGGTTAGGGTCGGTAGTACCGACCCTAACGGTACTACTGCGACCCTTAACTGCCTCTTGTTTATGTCTCCCCAGAAGAGTTGACACGAGCGAGTGTGCGAGCAATTTTTTTTTTATTTTTTTTATTATTATTTTTTTTTTATTATTTTCTACCACAGACGTGGCCACACATTTACAATGCTAACCAGCAATGACCTCTTCCGGGCCTCGGGGAGAGAGAGAGAACGGTTTGGCAGCAGGATGCTGCTTCAGGAAACTGTCCTTTAATAAGAAAAGTTTGTATATTACATGTATATAATACAGGCTACCTGTCCCCGAGAAAATTATTTATCACAAATCATGACTAACCTGAAACCGGAGTTAAGGAGTAAACGAACTCCTAGAACCCACCACAGGTATGATCCAGGTATACATGTTTCAGAAAGAAGGTGTATTGGATAGTTAGTATCAGTGAAATCACTAGTACGTGTAGCGTTTCGGGCAGGTCCTTAATCCTATGGTCCCTGGAATACGACCCGCCAAATCGTTTAACAACCAGGTCCCCATTTTACTGTTGGGTAAACAGAGGCTACAATTAAGGATTGGCGCCCAGTCAATCCTCCCCGGCCAGGCTACGAACCCAGATCAAAGTGCTCGCGAAACGCCAGGCGAGGGTCTTACCACTACCCCCACGAGGACTGTAGACATACTTATATATAAGTATGTCCTACAGTCTATACTCACTACAAGACGGAGAAGTAATACAAACCAAAATCATTGAACAACACTAAACCAAACCATGATTTTAACTTCTGTGGCCTTAACCTTCAAATATATATACCAACCTTCTAAGTGGACATTTAACTGAATGGACTATAATTACTAGAACAATCAGATCAGGTGTTCAAGGAACACACCTGTGACGAAGAAGACTAACAAGAAAGGGGAAGAAACGGCTCAGTTTTCCGTATGTAAACATCAACAATACACTTAGGTAACCTAGGGCCAGATTCACGAAAGCACTTACGCAAACACTTACAAACCTGTACATCTTTTCTCAATCTTTGGCGGCTTTGTTTCCAATTATTAAACAGTTTACAAGCATGAAAACTTGCCAATCAACTGTTGTTATTGTTATAAACAGCCTCCTGGTGCTTCGGAGCTCATTAACTGTTTAATAATTGGAAACAAAGCCGCCAAAGACTGAGAAAATATGTACAGGTTCGTAAGTGATTGCGTAAGTGCTTTCGTGAATCTGGCTCCTAGACCACAGGAAGAACGAGGAGGACACGTGGCCAGTCAGAAGACGGGGTAGAGGGGGGATATTAACACCATGAGCGGAAGAGAGAGAGAGAGAGAACAGATGAGCAGGCTGGTAAGTGAGGCAGACTAGACACTGATGGAAGTTACAGAGCACAGACTGGGAATACGTCTTGGTGCGAGAGAGGGGGGCCGAGACGGCTCTTGTGGGGTGGGGTGGCGCTCTTGTGGACCGGGGGGCGGGGCTCTTGTGGGTGGTTGGGGGGGGGGCACAGAGAATATGCTTGACTGTGAGGAATTCGTATAGCGTCTCCAGCTAGGAAACGAACCGGAAGCGGCTACGTTCCTTAGCTTAAAGTTGGCTGATTAGAACCTTTTTAAAAAGGTTGTGAGGTCGTATTCCAAAATGTCCACTCTGTGAGCTACGACACACACACACACACACACACACACACACACACACACACACACACACACACACACACACACACACACACACACACACACACACACACACACACTACCTACAAAAACCTCAGGGGAATTGACAGGGTAGACAAAGATAAACTGTTTAACACGGGTGGTACGCGAACAAGGGGACACAGGCGGAAACTGAGTACCCAAATGAGCCATAGGGACGTTAGAAAGAACTTTTTCAGTGTCAGAGTAGTTAACAGGTGGAATGCATTAGGAAGTGATGTGGTGGAGGCTGACTCCATACACAGTTTCAAATGTAGATATGATAGAGCCCAGTAGGCTCCGGAACCTGTACACCAGTTGATTGACGGTTGAGAGGCGGGACCAAAGGGCCAAAGTTCAACCACCGCAAGCACAAATAGATGAGTACACACACACACCAACTCTTCAACACTATTTGTTAATGCCTTGTTACCAATGATTTTAGACCAAATGGCATGAGATACTTTGAGCCTTATTTTTCATTTTTATTTATATATATATATATATATATATATATATATATATATATATATATATATATATATATATATATATATATATATATATATATATATATATATATATATATATATATATGTAAGAGTTCTTACATTCTTGCACAGTAGAGGTGAAAGAAACTCTGCCCATTTGTTTCCGCCTTCCGCCGGGGATCGAACCCAAACCCTTAGGACTACGAACCCCAAACGCTGTCCACTCAGTCTTCAGGTTTATAACTCATTCCCTCGCAGATATTGGAAAATATTCTCATCATCTACCCAGAGTTTGCTAGGGTAGACTACAGTAGACTAGACTCTAATCTCACGTTTTCTCCTGATTCCAGACTCTCATCTCACGTTTTCTCCTGATTCCAGACTCTAATCTCACGTTTTCTCCTGATTCCAGACTCTCATCTCACGTTTTCTCCTGATTCCAGACTCTAATCTCACGTATTCTCCTGATTCCAGACTCTATTCTCACGTATTCTTCTGATTCCAGACTCTCATTTCACGTTTTCTCCTGATTCCAGACTCTCATCTCACGTTTTCTCCTGATTCCAGACTCTAATCTCACGTTTTCTCCTGATTCCAGACTCTCATCTCACGTTTTCTCCTGATTCCAGACTCTAATCTCACGTTTTCTCCTGATTCCAGACTCTAATCTCACGTTTTCTCCTGATTCCAGACTCTCATCTCACGTTTTCTCCTGATTCCAGACTCTAATCTCACGTTTTCTCCTGATTCCAGACTCTAATCTCACGTTTTCTCCTGATTCCAGACTCTCATCTCACGTATTCTCCTAATTCCATGTATGACTAACCCTCCTGTGAGATGGAAGACATTAGATGATTAGATGTACTGTAGAGTACTGGCTCCTAACCAGTACTCTACAATCCCTCATAGACACCCCCCCCCCCAACCTCATAAAATGATTGTACTTGTACCATCAATTTAGTCAAACACCAATATGTATTGTTGGAACCCCCCAAAATTCCGATTTTATATTACTGAATGGGCCTAAATGTAATTTTAATAAACCGGAAATGTAACTAAAGAATCTTACCCAAACTGTCCAATTACTGCTAGGCTTATAACACGTTAGCTTAAGATGTTGTATAATACATCTGTGCTGTATTAGGCCTAGGAATGTTTATGTCTGCTTTTTAGCTTTTTATTTTCTCTCTTGACCAAAAAAAAATTACTAGTGAAAAACGTGAACTTTTTTTTCGAACGTCCAATAAAACATATTGATGCGTTCGTCCAAATAGTTACTATAAACCCCTTAGTTAATAATAAAATTCAGATGCATGAAGTTTTATTTGTTAACTTTAGTTGCAAATTTTTAATTTCTGGTAAATGATCTAAGGACTTACAGTGTTAATATTGTAATCTTTATCGTTAATTAAATATGTTGGCGAGCAACAGCCTCACTTGAAGTAAATTAGCCGATGACACTAAAATTGATTCAGATCCAGACGAAGATTCAGATCCAGACGAAGATTCAGATCCAGACGAAGATTCAGATCCTGACGAAGATTCAGATCCTGACGAAGATTCAGATCCTGACGAAGATTCAGATCCAGACGAAGATTCAGATCCAGACGAAGATTCAGATCCTGACGAAGATTCAGATCCTGACGAAGATTCAGATCCTGACGAAGATTCAGATCCAGACGAAGATTCAGATCCAGACGAAGATTCAGATCCTGACGAAGATTCAGATCCAGACGAAGATTCAGATCCTGACGAAGATTCAGATCCAGACGAAGATTCAGATCCAGACGAAGATTCAGATCCAGACGAAGATTCAGATCCAGACGAAGATTCAGATCCAGACGAAGATTCAGATCCAGACGAAGATTCAGATCCAGACGAAGATTCAGATCCAGACGAAGATTCAGATCCAGACGAAGATTCAGATTTCGGACGAAGACCCTGAGACATAACAAGAGGTCTTAAACAAGCTAAATTGGCAACAGCAATAAAGGGGGGAAAAACAAATAAACAAATCAAGCCAATTTGTATATTAATTGTGTCAATAACGATGTTAATAATAACAAATAGACTTTCAAAATAGACAGAAGACTTACAGATGCGGACCACTCCTGATAAATAGGAATTTATTTAGGTCTTAAATAATTTAAGTCTTAAACCTGAAAAAAAACTGTACCTGTTGTTAGTTCCAAGATTTCTTCTACTTCTCAAGTCTGACTGGGTGCCAGGCTTGTTTGTTGATAGCTTGATCAACAAGGCTGTTGCTTGAAGCCTCCCGCATTACAACCCATATGAACCGACACCTCCTACGGGATTTAGCTGGAAAACATCAGCTGAAAAAGATTGTGAATTTGTCAAATAATGTTGCGAAAACGACTGTTATTCACTATCGGCAGGATTGTGAAGCCAAGATACTCGTGCATGAATGTTCAGTAAAGGCAAAAAAAAACTTATCTCCTGGAAATTGAAAGCTGGAAAAGAAAGATTGTCGTTATCAGTCTTAATTTTGAGAACTGAAATAGAAGAGAGATGTGTGTGCATGTGTGTGTGTGTGTGTGTGTGTGTGTGTGTGTGTGTGTGTGTGTGTGTGTGTGTGTGTGTGTGTGTGTGTGTGTGTGTGTGTGCATGTGTGTGTGTGTGTGTGTGTGTGTGTGTGTGTGTGTGTGTGTGTGTGTATGTGTATGTGTGTGTGTGTGTGTGTGTGTGTGTGTGTGTGTGTGTGTGTGTGTGTGTGTGTGTATGTGTATGTGTGTGTGTGTGTGTGTGTGTGTATGTGTATGTGTGTGTGTGTGTATGTGTGTGTGTGTGTGTGTGTGTGTGTGTATGTGTGTGTGTGTGTGTGCGTGTGTGTGAGGGGGGAAATCTCTGTATTTTCTGAAGTTTTCTTATGGTATTTGAAGTCTGTGTGTGTGTGTGTGTGTGTGTGTGTGTGTGTGTGTGTGTGTGTGTGAGTGTGTGTGTGTGTGTGTGTGTGTGTGTGTGTGTGTGTGTGTGTGAGTGTGTGTGTGTGTGCTTATGGATTCACGTACGTTTATATTCGTAATAATTGTATGCGTTTATTCACAAAACCCTTTTTGTAATTACAAAAAAAATATATAAAATACAGGAAGAATTCTGGAGTCAAAAGATGGCGCGACACCACGACACACACGCACCTTCAGTACGAGCCAAATACCTTAGTACTACCCAGTTAGGACCACGACTATGTACTATCCATCGAGCCAGTGACCACACTATCCACGAATAACGTTAACTCTGCCCGAAATAGTGGCGTATAATAGTGGCCTTTGCGTAATAGCGGCTTTAGGCATTGTATGTACTAGCTCTATCTATAAATCCATCAATGTTTGTATTACACCTTGTATGGATGTACTTTACCTGAATAAACATTTGAATTTGAAGACCAGACCACACACTAGAAAAGTGAAGGGACGACAACGTTTCGGTCCGTCCTGGACCATTCTCAAGTCGATTGTGGTTTAGAAACGTTATTGTGACTCATCGCCTGCATTTGAATTTGAATTTAAATCAACGTCACTCAGCGAAAGTATGTGCTAACGCCACGTTTGAGAAGAGCTAAATAAGCGTTACTTCACCGTTATTGCCCCCCCCCCCCTCCCGGGGGAATATTATCCAACGCCCCCCTCTGGATCGACCTCATACCATAGTCGACTGTGATTCACCGTCAGGAGGCTGATGCTGTTGCCAGATTCCCAACGCATTCCAGGGACGTTGCTCACGCCCCCCCCCCCCCCCCCCCCCCCCCCCCGTGCTAACCTATTCTCCAGCAGCTAATTTGATGAGCTCAAGAGTTTACAGTTCTTTCTCCTACAGTCAACTTGATCCAACATTACACGACGGGGGGGGCGGCGAACGGGGGGGACAAGCATGATTAAGATGAGTTAGGAACCTCGTTAAGTTAGTCGTGGGTACATTTTATCAGGGTCAATATGTTAGTTTGGCTTGATTTGTTTGTATCTCTCTTTCCACCTCTCTCTCTCTCTCTCTCTCTCTCTCTCTCTCTCTCTCTCTCTCTCTCTCTCTCTCTCTCTCTCTCTCTCTCTCTCTCTCTCTCTCTCTCTGTCTCTCTCTCTCTCTCTCTCTCTCTCTCTCTCTCTCTCTCTCTCTCTCTCTCTCTCTCTCTCTCTCTCTCTCTCTCTCTCTCTCTCTCTTGTCTCTCTCTCTCTCTCTCTCTCTCTCTCTCTCTCTCTCTCTCTCTCTCTCTCTCTCTCTCACACACACACACACATCTACCCACACATGTGATGTAGTGGAGGCTGACTCCATACACAGTTTCAAATGTAGCTATGATAGAGCCCAGTAGGCTCAGGAACCTGTACACCAGTTGATTGACAGTTGAGAAGCGGGACCAAAGAGCCAGAGCTCAACCCCCGCAAGCACAACTAAGTGATTACACGTGGAACAAGATAATGGAAATAGAAAGTAGAAAACAGCCGATATAGAGTCAATATGCAAAAAAAATGAGAAACAGGAAACATTAAACTACAGAGCAGTGTCCTTTGCTTGCATTTCAGGTAAATTCAGGTAAATTCAGGTAAATTTTATATATGGTGGAAAATGTCATTACGAAAGAGGCTAGTAGAACATCTGGAGTGAAGGGTCATTATAACCCAACAACTGACATTTTCCTTTCCAACAACTTTTTTCCTTGTCAGACAAGGAAAAAAGGAGCAAGAGCGGGGTTGCATATTTGTGGAGTGTCAGAACACCTTTGACACGGTACCCCACACACAGGGGGGGGGACAAGGCCACAGACTGAAGAACTAGGCACGAGAGACAAGGACAGTAGGTAAAAGAGTGTGTGTGTGTGTTTGCAACATGTGACGAACATGATAACGTATTCGATGTATTCGATAACGTATTCGATGTATTCGATAACGTATTCGATGTATTCGATAACGTATTCGATGTATTCGATAACGTATTCGATGTATTCGATAACGTATTCGATAACGTATTCGATAACGTATTCGATGTATTCGATAACGTATTCGATGTATTCGATAACGTATTCGATGTATTCGATAACGTATTCGATGTATTCGATAACGTATTCGATGTATTCGATAACGTATTCGATGTATTCGATAACGTATTCGAAGTATTCGATAACGTATTCGATGTATTCGATAACGTATTCGATGTATTCGATAACGTATTCGATGTATTCGATAACGTATTCGATGTATTCGATAACGTATTCGATGTATTCGATAACGTATTCGATGTATTCGATAACGTATTCGATGTATTCGATAACGTATTCGATGTATTCGATAACGTATTCGATGTATTCGATAACGTATTCGATGTATTCGATAACGTATTCGATGTATTCGATAACGTATTCGATGTATTCGATAACGTATTCGATGTATTCGATAACGTATTCGATGTATTCGATAACGTATTCGATGTATTCGATAACGTATTCGATGTATTCGATAACGTATTCGATAACGTATTCGATAACGTATTCGATAACGTATTCGATGTATTCGATAACGTATTCGATGTATTCGATAACGTATTCGATGTATTCGATAACGTATTCGATGTATTCGATAACGTATTCGATATATATATATGTAGGAGAGACTCGGTGTCGGAGGCATCATCCTCCGACACCGAGTCACAGTATGAGGAGAGACCCCACAATATGGGACGAAAAGTCACAGTATGAGGAATAGATCGAACATGTGAGATAAACAACTCGAGGCAGTTCTCTGCCCACACAGTATGAGGAGAGACCCCCACACTGTGGGGGGGAGAGTTGTGAAATGTTACCACCATTCCCCCCCCCCCCCCCCCCCCCCCCCCCCCCCCCCCCCCCACCCCCCCCCCCCACCCCCCCCCCCCCCCCCCCCCCCACTGCCCCCACACAGGGGTCAGCACGTAGGCCGTCATCCTAAGGTTTCCCCGACGTGAAGAAAACGGTCAATTTGGAGTGTCTTCTCCTAACCTACCAGAGGACCCCCAAAACAGAAAACGGGTCAGTATGTGTCACTTTCGCCACTTAATTTTTGGTCTTTTGTAACGCATACGAGCGAAAAGCGACGTTCTTTCTAGGTCAGGTTGCAGCGTTCGGCTCAGTTCTATTCCTGATGCATGTGGAAGACTTGCCATAAGGAATATGACACCTTCCTTTCAGTGTTTACTGATGATGCATAAATAATGAGTATACATATAATGTAAGGCTGCGAGAAAATACAAGATAACTTTGACAAAATTTAAAAAAAAGGTCCAATATGCGGCTACTGGAGTTTAACTCAAGCAAGTGCAAGGTAATAAAGCTAGGTAGTGCAACTATTTATTCAGACACCTGGACTGAATTTCAGCCACAGCGACTCCGTACGGAAGCGAGCGACGGTCTCGCTTCATGCAGGTCGGTGTTCAATCCCCGACCGTCCAAGTGGTTGGGCACCATTCCCCCCCCCACCTCTCCCCCCTTACCGTCCCATCCCACATCCTTATCCTGACCCCTTCCAAGTGCTACTATACAATCGTAATGGCTTGGCCCATTACGATTTCTTCGTAGTGGTAATTACGAAGAATTACTTCTGGTAATTTCTTTCTTCTGGTTACGAATCCAATTCCCTTACGAATCCAATTCCCTTACGAATCCAATTCCCTGACAATAACGAAATCCTCATTTTTGACAGCAGTGGAACACGTGGAGCCCGAGCACTTTAATGTTCAGAAATGCATTACGTTGTTTCGAACATTTATTCGAACCCTGTGACAGCCATGATGAGGGGTCATGGTCACGCCCATGAGTAGAAAATAGTGGGTTGAAGAGAGTACACCATGATAACCCCTTGAAGCCTGCTCCTCCATCATGCTTCCTCTTTGTTCCCCGGAGCCTGCTCCTTCATGTTCCCTGCTCCTCCATGTTTCCCGGAGCCTGCTCCTTCATGTTCCCTG